TTATTGATTACAGCAAGTAAAATTTTTGCAATTACATTGCAAAGCCTGCATTATTATTGCTCAATACTGGGAATTGTTATCAAACTTGCAGTCTACACGATAACGGTACATTTTACTGGACACAGGAAGTGTGGGCGTTGTATGGATTCCCCATTGAAAATGAACATGGCTGAAGTATGCTGCCTTTAAACATTTCTAGGACAGCCAAAGATGCTTATACACTATTATTACCAGCAAAAAATAATAGAATATACATTGCTCTTAATAATAAAAATAGTCTTGTACAATCAACTCCAGACAAGAGAGAGATATACTGTGTCCTGTTGCTCCATCTTTTCAAAAATTTCCAACTTTGATTTTTGTACAAATCAGTCACAGACCACTTACATACTCCAGAAAGGGTCTGGTAACTTTAGAACACTTGCTTAATACACTGTGCAATACTTGAAGTCATGGGCCAAGTAACTTTTGAGAAAATGCCCCCCAAAAATAGGTGGTTCAGCCAAATATCACCTAATTATCAGTTTATTAAGCCATGTGCATTTGAAATTTAAATGATTAATTATATTCATGGGCACTTTAATTATATTCATAAGACATAATGGTTGTGAATATCATTAACTGATAAAGGAAGTCCTAAAAAATCTTGTCCAGTGAAATGTACCGTTATCGTGTAGACTGTTGTATCAATGATTGTATCTATAAATAGATATAATAATGACAATGCAACTAGTGCAAAAGGGTAACTAAAGAGTAAATGTTCACTTGTTCATTCATACATCTTAAATAATAATAATAATAATAATAATGTCAATAATAGTTTGTTGCTGCAGATTTAGCTAACAGGACAGCTACATGTACATGTACATGTAGATGGAGTCGTAGTTGCTTGAACAGTGTAGTACGAAGTATACGATGCACTGGATGCAGTAGAAGTTGTAGTTGGTTCAGGCAGCTTTGTGGGAGCTGTATATATAGCAATAAAAAAAACATTAAATAATTTGTATCCCATGCCTTTTTTACAGAAATGCAATATTACAGGCTCTGCATTAATAATACATTTCAGAAAATTATTTTGCCTAAGCTGCACATTCATAGGATAATTTTTGTCAATCATGTATTAAAGACAGCAGCTATACTTGTTGAAGCAAGCAACAATAATATTTCTTATAATTCTATTATAATTGTAGCCCTTTCAAGGTAAGGCATGATTTAATTTGCAATATTGAAAAACGATTCCCTTTAGCATGACAATCCTCTCATGTTTTCACTTTGTTTACTTACTTGGTGTCACACTGACTGTAAATGTAGTGGTCATGGTTGAGAAGACATTAGAGCCTTCATTGATATCTATCTCTGCATAGTACACACCACTGTCCGATGAGACGGCATTGTTGACATTCATTTTTATGTCCCATGGGTCAGAGCTACTACGCGTGTAAGATGCCCGACCAATTTTGTAGCAGCCAGTTTTGGAACAGCTCAGAAGTGGTGTGGAGCCCTTTTTTAGCCGGCCAAATGCAATTTCTTGCTTTTTGCCACTTGGTCCTCCATTGACATAGTCCATTGATATGTTGAGTGGTATTTGGTCTCCTTCTGAGACTGTAGTAGTTGTTCTAAGGTTACAATTCTTCACAGGTGAACAGCCTTTGAACTTGGGCACAGCTGCAGATGAAAAGAGAATGAGATAATGCGATACTGCATGTGTGCAACTAGGAACTTACCCATTACAATGAGATTAAAAGTATCAATACCACCATTTCCATCGCTGCACTGATAAACCCCTTCATGCTGTGCTACGACTGTTTGAATACTCATGATGTCTCCATTAGTCAAAACACCTGCTGAGTACTTATTTCCTCCATTATTATTTGTATAAGACCAGACACTAGTAAATGATGAGCACTGGAATTGTGCCCTTTGCCCTGTTCCTCCTTGCTTGTGAACATCAAAATTTTCTGAAATTAAAAAAGAAGATAATTTAGAAGAAGGACTATAATACAGAGACTTACTGCCTTCCATGCATATTCCAGGAACTATACTAAGAAATAGAAAAAGGCAAAAAGGACATTTTACCGCAAATTCAGCCATACTCTATGTATATACTCTTGTCTAGTCTACATGGAAAGAAGATTAAATTTTATATCACTAGCAGTCTAGCACTTACTTTTGACAAATGCTATACTACAGAACAAAGCAGCCTTTTTTATAGAAAATCTATGCAATGAATACAATTAATACATCCTGTATAGCTATGATGGTACGGTGTGCATACTAGCTTTACTATTGTAGCTTTGAGAAGTAAGTTTAGGCATTTCAAAAATGCTATGAAAAGATTAATAGCATAATAAAACTACTCTCCTTCAAGGAATAAGAATTTAAAACTTATGCTATAATACTATAATTATTTAATCTACAACTTTTCTAATAGAATTAGAAGCCTGCCTGCAGTGTATCTAGCTATTAGTTTTCATGAGCAGAATACATACACCATTTAAACTTACTTCATGGTCAGTTCTGTCTGCTTTCAATCCATCAGGCAATGTTAACTAGAAAGTGGAGGAATAGAAGAAAAATCAAATTCTATTAGTCTAATAGCAAGAATGACACAGCATGACACTGCAGGAAATTCCAACATTGCATCATTAACATATCTTCTAAGGAATGTTAGACATGTCCTGAGTTTAGCTTAGTGTAGAATAGCATGCACGACCTTCATTTCCCGCACATTATTTGACTAAATTGACTATACAAGGTAATAAAGGTATTCCCCTCAGTCTGTCACATTATTAATCAAATGACAAATTGGAGCCATGCTAACCTCTCAATTTTGTTGGCATGAATGGAATTGAAAGGTACAGCATCATGATCATTATCACTACACTACTGAGCTGCATAAACTTTTAATCCCACGCTAATTATTATTACACTGTACAGGGCATGTGATTGATATGCTGTTGTCATAGTTACTGGTACACAATGGAGTCTTGTGTGAGGTTTTCATTATCACCCATTGTGTCAAGAGTGCCTTTTCTCTCTTCATCGACATCAAAAGCACTAGCATCTACTGGACAGAAACAGGTCTTTGAGTTTTTTTAGAGAAAAGGAGACTTCAGTATATTGTTAGGCAAGTCAAAATGAAGTCGTCCACAGCAGCAAAACAGCAGAAAGAAGGAGGGGCTGGCGAGAGTAGCGGGGGCGAGCTCGCTGCGCCAATTCAGGCGGGAAGATATAGATTGTGTTTGGAAAAGGGTAAGTTTTACAACTGTGATAATGGATTTCACACAGAATCGTGAATAATATTATTTTAGAACCTGATAAATTTGCAGAGCACATAGTAGTTAAAGCAAAGGCCAACATTAAAACTAAGAGAAAGAGAAGGAAAAGACAATCACCTCCTCCACCATCACTTCAATCAAGAACGACAGTGGCATCAATATCAGAGCAATCAAGACCACAAAAACTGACATCAACCCCAAGACTAAATTCATCATCATCTACCCACCAGCATCAAATCAGTATCCTATCAGATCAATCACTAACATCAACAGGAGGAGTGAGCAGCACAACAAGACACAGCATATCACGAGATCAAGATCTAGTAAGACAATTGTACTATAGTCCACTCTACCAGCAAGTGCGAAGAGAATGGAGGGACACTATAGCACACAAGCAGATGCAAAAAGTCTCCAATGTCAGGAGAACATTGAACT